GGCAGGGAATGTTGTGGCCAGATAATCGTTAAGGTCCATTCCAGCTACTAAAATTCTATGATTCTATGATTCATTCACTCATGATTTGAAAAAATGTTCCTTCTGAAGTCAATAAATGTCACACCTTGCATGAGGTTTCTATTGAGACAGGACTTTTACAAGGTTGTCCTATTCCTGAGTTGACAAGGTGTCGCAGAGTTAAGAGGGCTCACCATCAGGTCAGCAGCTCTCCAGCTGCACCTCTGTCAGTGGTGGCCCCTGATGAAGAGGGAGATCTGTCAAACATAACAGTGTTTCTGCAGGAGGATCTACATCATCTTGCTAGCCAGCATAAAGTAGACCATAAAAACCTCTCTCCTGTTTGCCTGCTCGTATCCATCAGGGGTTTAGGCTACCAGTGTTAGCTATTCCATACATAGCTAACTCCATACAGAGACAGCCTTTAAAGCCAAACATTTTTAATGCAGATCTCACCAGACAGAGGGCAAGACCTTTGGAAATGTTTTGTATCCAGTTTCACATTTCCCTCAATGTTGTGGTGGTTTTCTTTCCTAGTGCATCTGAGTTCCTTGTTTTGATGAGGGAAAACAAAGAATTAATACTTCCCACCCAAGGCACTACATACAGCAACCTGTGGAACTCTATCAGATATTCTGCCACTCCTAAAATAGCTAACAATGATGATTTTTAATTTCTCATGAGATATATCAGGCAAATTTCTTTGCTTAGACTGGTTGCTCTGAGCCTTCTGCAAGATAACCAGGTACTAGGTTTGCCTTCCAGTCACATTTCCAAGGACTTCTGAGTCAAGGACTATGACAACAATTTAACTTTGCAAGGAAAAATGTATTTTCAGGGGGATGGTGTGAGGAGTGGGTGTAGACCAGCTGCTACCGCACTGTCATTGCTGCCCTATAGACTGAAGCAAGAGAATTCTGATTTACAGGGTTTTTTTCTTCAACATAAAATCTAGCAGACTTTATTAGATTTTTCTTGACTATCTGATTTCACAGCCATAATGTTGTTTCCTAAGATGCTGATTGACAAGTGGGATAAAAATTAGTTAGAAATAATCATTACCATTTAAGGAAATACCAGATACAGGTTGATCAAAGCCTTTGGATTTTACTATTCACTACACCTGTCCTAGAGCTGTGAGTGCTTAGTCTATAGGAAAAATGAGTTGATTGATCTTTCAATATTTAAGCCTCAAATAAATCACTAGTTTCTTTGTTTAATAAATGATTATAATTTGCTAGAGATCTGAGTAAGGAAGACTGTAAACAAGGCCAGCTTCCTTTCCATACCATGGCCCATGGTAGACATAGGCTGTGAGAGGTTTCTGTATAATGAATAATGACAATTTGTCCTAAAATGCACAAAAGGTAAAATCTTTCAGATTATGCTTGAATAAAGTTTTCATGATACTGATACCTAAAATGAATATATTTCTCCAGAGTTCTTAATTTATTATGAATCCCCTTTTCTTAAGGCTAGCAATCAACATGTATAGTCTAAGAAAGCACAATCTGATTCCAATGTTTTTGGTATTACCAAAAAGAAAGGAAATATTTCTCAAAATTGTTGTCCATGACTTTAACCATGGACTTGCTACAATCATTATGTATTGCCACACATAAAAGAAAAATCTGTTTGAGAAATATCCTCATTTGAGTAATTTTAAGTTTTTTTTTAACTGATGAATGTACATATATAAAATATGCAGCAGAATTGGCTTCATTTTAGTATGTTCTGTCTTCTGTGTTGTGAGAAGCAGTGGGCAAAGCAGATAGCAAACTGGAAAGAAGACAAATTCTGAGTAACTTATCTGATCTCTGGTAAATCGGAGCACATCCATTATATTTAATGTACAGTGTCAAATACATGCTTCATCTTCAGTATTTGATCCTGGTTGGATCTCCATGCTAGCATAGGACCATGGAAGATCTGAGCCTTTGCTTTCTCCATACCTCAAATCTAAACTGCAAAGTTTAAATCAAAAACTTCTTTTAATATTTCTTATTAATGATAATTTAAGGGTGAATTTTTCTGTTTAATGACAGCAGTGGTTTGCTACCATGCTTTAAGATGCCATTAGTATTATATAAATATATTTGCATGCGCAAACACAGAGGCACAAACGTGTTACAGACTCCTCAAGGTAAAAAAGCTCTGCAGGATGGAAAAACATACAAGAATCAAAGAGGTTCAGTGATACACGAAGAGGATTCAAAGATGGACTTCTCCATATTTCATTCGTAGTTGTAAAGGATTAAGGAGCTTGCTTGGGCATGAAACCCCAGCAAGTGGATACTATGTGAATGGAGTTTAAAAAGGGGTACGTGAATATGTTCCAGAGAACAGTTAAGGGGCTATATATTCTACTCCAGTCCACTGACTGAATCAGGACCTGTACCATAATTGTATTTATTCTAAACAAAGTTAGTTGTGAAGGAGTTTTACGGTCTTTTAGCTAGCTCACTCCATAAATCCCAAGAGGATTTATTTTTCCCTGGCCTATGTAGAAATGATTCACATATGATTACTGGACTACAGACCAGAACGGATGACTATGGGAGTTCAGATCCTACTAGGACTGCCCTCTGTATTGCATGCCTTTAACAAAGAATCCTTGCACAGTTAATCTTCTCAACTAAAGGCTTCTTACAGTCCTGATGTACAAGGTATATACTCTCATCTAGCACATAGCAAGAAAAATTAGTTCGGTCTAAAATATACAAGTTCCTTTGCTATCATTTTCCCCTATAAATATGAAAGAGAAGAGGAGAGGAGAGGAGAGGAGAGGGGATGCCTATTCTTGTTTTGGTTATTTGGGTTTTTTCCCACGTATCTCAGGCAGTTTGTAGGAATATCAGGATTTCTTATGGCAACAGACACTTTTAGTGAGAACATAACTTCTCAGATGAAAATTCAATTTTCATTCAATCCTTCTTATTCTCTCACTGTCTGGCTTATGCAGGAATTCTATGTTGGGAAAATATGTGGCAATAATTCCAGGTACACTGCCTCTGAACCTGAATATTAGAAATTCAGGAAGACATCACAACACCTGCAACTTTAGTAAGTGTAATGAAGAAGGAAGTAAGCTACTGAGATATTTTATGTCACAGTACTCTAGTCTCACTGTTTGCAATTCCCATACAGATCATATATGTCACAGCACATCAAGTGCACTCACAAGACCCACTTATCATATTTTCTGCTAGTGGAGATTGCAATTAAAAACCAAATATTTTTAATATGCTTCTAGCACCTGACATTTATATGAATTGTATAAAAAATTAATACCCAGATTCATACAGTGTGAACCAAATATTGGGGTGAAATCCATAACAAAGCTCCTTTGACTTCTGTGAGGACTAGATCTGCATCCATTTCTCAAGTGGTTTCAGTCTCCTAAGTAGTCAGCACAGATGAGTCTTTTGGTACCATAGATAAATTCTGTGGTTTACATGCATGAAGCTTACATCTTTTGAGTAGTTAAGCATCTACCCAACTTGCATAAGCCTATCTTGTTTTGCAACCTAATGATAGTAATTATACTCAAAAGAAACAATATGGAAGAGCAAACAAGTAAATTTAGAAGGCTTTTAAATGTCTGCCTTCAACAAAAATGGACAAGAAAATGGAAAGAATCCATCAGAATTCATGCTTATTCTAAACTTTACAAATTAAACCCAAGCTATCTCTAGAAAACTGAACCTAGTTAATGGTATAGCCTATAGGCCAAGAAAATGAGCTAAAACTCTTAGGAACTTATATTTAACTTAAGCAAAATTCCACACAGACATAATCGTATAAACATCTCTCATCTTATATGATCTTAATTCATAAGAATCACCAGTTCATTCCTGTTGGTACATTCAGAATCAGGAATATCAGAATTGGTCTGCAGGCTTAAAATTTTGCTATATTGAAATATGGACTGCCCAATAAATGTGCCATTAAGGATGCCTTTCATCTCTCACCCTTCCAAAAGAAGGCTGTACACAAAATCTAGAAAATTGTTTTGATTTGCTTTAATCAAATTGGTGATCAAGATCTCACCTTTGAAATATATTTCCTTAATCTCTACTCAAAACAACTTTTTTTGCCAAAGATGAGTATCTTATCATACCTCTTTGTCCAAAAAACTGCCTAAGCTCTCATGCTTTAAAGAGCTGCCTGTACATTTGTACTTAGATCAGAAAAGTCATGTTTCATCAGTGGCAGAAGATTGATATAATGCCAGTTCTGAAAGAATCCACTTGAAGTTAATGTGGAGGTATGAAAGCTACTTCCTCCACTTCCTTGGGTATTACAACATGACCTAAGTCATCACATTTTCTTAGATGAGTGAAATAGTCATGCAGAAAAGATACATAAGGTGGTGTTTTCAAAAACCCATAAATTATTATTGGTAGTTAAAACAGCATCCAATTTTGAGAATACTAATTTGACTCGTCTGAAATTATGAGAGCTAGCCCTTTGCAACTTAAAAGCAACTGAAAACATTATATTTGCCTGAATACTGGTGAATGGGTTCATAGAAGGAATCCCTTTACCCCTTTAATTTTTTTTCCTGTGTGAGTTCAGCTCATGTCAGTGGTCTGAAGAAAAACATGCCTCTCATACAGCTTCCTTAGTAGTCACAGAACTTTCCAACAGACTAATCCTTTGCCTGACTCAAAAGAAACACAGGTGGGAACAAAGGGCCATCTTGCAGAATTAAACAATGTGGTATGCAGGGGTCATCAGATTAATTCACATACATTCCTGGGGGTAGATCTTCTCTGAGTGAAAGAGGTCTGCTTATGTATACTGAGCAGAGAACTTCAGTGCTTCATGCAATTTCTAGCTTACAGTTAATGCTGATCAAAGGATACAACACAGGTTTCCATTCAAGATCTCTCTGGCGTTGTGTAAACCAAACAATATTTCAACTGAATAGAGAAGATATATGTCATCATATTTAAATTAAATATAAAGATTTGTATAAGTATTTTTTACATTTGCACTCACCTTCCAATCCTGATGTGGAAAGGTTCAACTACTCAATTTAAAACTCCTTTCTGACCCTAGACCCAAATTTCATTTTGAAACTGGTAAATCAAAAAGGTACATATAAAATACCTACAAAATACACAGGCACTTACTGGACAGCTTGTTTTTAAGGATAAAACTGTATCATGATTTCAGTTTCTCCAGAAACATTTTGCTTTCTACAATGAGCACTGTTTTACCTTTCCATCATAATGTACCCAGCATGACTGATTTCTCCCTCTGCATCTCCAGTTTTACTGAAGATTCATCTTTACTTTTATCTAAAGCCAGTTTAGACCTTTATATAAAATCTGAAGTCTAAAAGTCAAATGGGTACTGGGAGCACATAGCGTTGGAAAAATTCAGTCTTTAACTCCGAATGTCTCACAACTAATGGAAAGAACCTCTCCTAACACAAGTCTTTCAGGTTTCAACAAACATCAGTGCACATGCAAAATATTGAAAATGCTATAAAAATCAGGAAAAAAAGGCTTTGTTCTGTATGTCCTAATTATTCATGCTTTCTCTTATTCCTGTTCCCTTTGCTTCAGAGTTCCCCTTGAGCAGCTTCTGTAAGGTAGTTGGACCAACAACCTATTCCAAGATCACACATTTGCGTCTGGATGGAAACAATCTCACTCGGGCTGACCTGCCACAGGAGATGTACAACTGCCTTCGGGTGGCTGCTGAGATTTCACTGGACTGAGATACCTGGGAGCATCCAATTCCCTTCTAGGGGCAGTAACTACATCATGATAGTGCTTTAAAATTAGGATATGCCTTAAAACAAACTGCGTATTATCCATTCTGGTTTTAGTATTTAGCATGCCCTTGACAACCTTGAGGAAATGTGTGCGTATTTTTACAAATGGCTGTATACAGAAAGCACAAGAATGACCAAATTTGGTGTAAATTATGCCTTCATCTGGCTAGATGGGTTGACGAAAAACAGTCAACTTCATAGAAACTTAAGTCTATGCATGCTGTACATGCCAGTTGGTTCCAGACTTGCATGGCAGTCGGGTGGGTTTCATCGTGGGTTTCATCATGGGTTACACTAAGCAGTATGGGCTGCCCTGTGTAAATACAAGACTTCTCTCCAACTTTCTTAATCTTTATATTATTATCAATGACAAAGGAAAAATGATTTCACAAGCTATGAACAACTTAAAATATATGAAAATATATTTTCAGAGCCTATGGCATTATTAAATTAATGGAATATGTGAAAGATAAGGAAAAAAAACACTTTTCAGGTTAAAAATTGTTTACTCTTCTTTTTGTCATAGTTTCATTTAACTTTCATGGTAAGATTTTTATCCATTGCTCGTATAATTGTTATTTCAAAAGAAATCATATATACAAATATTTTTATTCAATTACTTGCATGCTACATTTAACCAGATTGTAGAAAATAAAACATATCAAATAGTGTTCTTGTGTCCACGTCATTGGCAACTCTGTTTCTGTCTTATAAATTGAAAAAATAAAATCAGGTTAAGACAAGGCAATCTAAGCTACTCTATTATTATTGAAATTTACTGTAAGGTTGAATAAACTGTTTTCTCTACTTTGAAGTTTTAATATGTTTGTAAATGTAATTTAACATGCTTCACTTCAATTGTGTTGGCCAATAAGTCAATGCCTTTGGAAGTTTGCAGTATGGGAATGGGCACTATGAAAAAGTGTAAATTAATGTTTCAGTGCTGTCAAAAGAACAATGAAATCTCTCAGAAATCACAAGGAGTGAGTAAAATGCAGCTGCACAAGGTAGACAGATGGTAGTATTCTCTACCCAGGAATGAATAGTGCAAATATTGTCAGCATCCTGCAACACACTGAAATAAATGTGTGAGCAACTGAGAGCCATAAATGCCTTGCTTGCAAACACAGATCATCCCACGGGTACTATTCTCTTTTCAACTGCTAGACTTAAACACTCAAACAGGAAATCTGGTTTCTATAGCAAAACCAGAAACTATCACCTCTGAAAAAAAAAAAAAAACCCCAGAAACCGAACCAATCCATACCAAACCATTTAGTTGATGCATTCAAAATCAACACACAATTCATAAAGAAACCTGGGACTAAAATGAATGGAGCGATGTCGAAGACAATGGAAATACTTAGCTCCTCATATTTGTCATTTTGAAATTTGTAGGTGTTACTGCTTTTTTTGCTCACACACAGGGAGGACTGAAAGTAACCTTTTTAACAAATAGGCTAGAATTTTCACAGAAGAATGAACCCTAAATCTGGGGCTTTCTGAACATATCAGAGTGGGAATCACTATGGAATAGTCCCCAGGCATTATAATATAGGAAAAGAAGTAGGAAGTGCATGCAAAATTGCCCCAAGGAATAGAAAAAAATATGGGAAACTGCATTTAACTATTTCTAGACAGATTGCAACTCCAGTGTCCCATTCACAGGAAGATACACTAAACACCTCATAGCTGTAATGTAAGTCCTGTTTCAGCAAACCGGTCATATTTATGCAAGATGAAACTCTGAATAGTGAGACTGAGAATGGTTCACCTCAGGATAGATAAGAACCTGTTGATGAGGGTATTTTCTACATATCCTTGTGTTGCAAATGAAGCATTCACAGGTGTTCACAAGGCATTTGATGTTCTAATCAAGGGACACAGTAGAAGGAAACTCTCTGTCAAAACAGCAAAGAGTACCAATGACCTCCCTGAGAAACTAGGGAACCTTCACCTTACACTGAGCACTTGGACAAATAAAATAAAATGGCATTTGGCAGTATATTTTTACCTTGAACATCTCTTTCCTGTGGTTTAGAAATTCCCAGTTAGTTGGGGAGATATGATATTCACAGTATCTATGAAAAAATTACATCATGAAGTCCTGCTATTAAAGGAGAAAAGGAACAGTATAACTCTGCTTTCATGTTATGAGACACAAAAACACAGGTTTCTGTTTCTGCATTAGTGAATTGTTCTAAGTCACTACAGAGACTGTTTAAGTTCCCAATCTCTACAGATCTTTCGGAAAGAAATAGGCAACAATATACATGTTCCTTAGTTTATTTATTTACAATATATTTTCCTTCTTCTTTCAGGTCAAAATTGGTAAATTTGCCATGACATTTTAATATGAAGTTTCATGTGGAAGAATAGACAAAAATGAAGAACTTTTGGAAGACACAAATTTGAAAGAAGGCCTGAAAAGAAAGTGCTACAAATGTAATGAAAGCAGTATTTCAGTGATAATATACAAATGCAACAGACAAAAACTTTACCCATGAAATTTCAGGAACTGGTCCACAAGTCTGTTTCACAGCCATTCACAAAAATAGGGTTATCTTTCAAGCAGACAAGCATTGTCTGATTTAAAAGACATCTTTCATATTAAAGAAGTTCCCTAGAAGGAGCATGAATTTCAGGAATGGAATCATCAATCTTCCTTGCCCTCTACTGCTTTATGAAGTCCAGCATAGTCAGATGGATCAAGAAAGGAGTGAGGAGTTAGTTGTTTAATAGAGCTGTCCTTCTAGTGCAAGGAACCTGGGAGGCTCCCATGCCTACCTCAAACCTCTGATTTTAGTGAAAGGGAATAAATAGGTGGTTGCTTAGCATGAGCCAAATTGTTTGGAAAACTGGGAACAAGAAAGCAAAACGTTGTTCAGAAAGGGAGCCTGAGTTGTTATATGTACAACTGCAACAAGCATAGACTGAAGATGGTAGAAACTGAGATTATAAACTAAAATGAAGTTTGGTGGAGAGCCACTAAGATGTAAGGTTGCAAAGAGAATTTCTCTCAGCCTTGACATTTCCAGGCAATGTCAAGTCACTTCCCTTAGCCTCTCTGAGGGTCATATCATATGTCTCAGCCCATGTCTTATTGCAATATATATATATAT